ACACATTATAACTTGCCTGACATCTGACTCCCCAGGTACCTCTCCACTATTTACCTGCTACATTCATGCCCGCTCCATAGCCTGTCTCTCAGCCACTGATTCCTCAGTTTACATCTTCACTGACTTCCTTTCTTTCCTGCATACCAGCCTCAGGTTTCTTTACTATTCATTCCATCCAGGAAGAGCACACACCAACTGCAGATGCTTCCCCAGCCTGATGAAGGGTTTTTAAACCCGAAAGCTTGCCAGGACAAATTTGTCCAGCTATTTAAGTTGGTCTGATAAAAGATATCGGATTTGCTCAAAGAACCTTGTCACCCCATATAACAAGAATTCCATTGCAGGGAAACATGACTGGCCCACAAAGCTTGCTTTGCTTCAGTTACCCCGTTATTTCTCAGTCATAAGTAATTTCAGTTTCTATCAGCAATTCCATTTCTAGATTCCTTTGAATGATTTTAAAATAGTGCTCTCTCACATTATATTGCAAAGTCCTATGATTTTGAAGAGTCCAAATAATAGCCCTAGTTACAGAGTTTCAGATCACAAGAGATCATTGTATCTTTAGTCTTCCCTCCTGTATATCACAGGTCTTACATCTCACCTAACTTTCCCTTTATTAAGAACATCTTTTAGTATGAGACGTTACCCAAGAATGGGTATACTTGCCGTATACAAGAACAAATATTAGATGTTTTGCTTCTAGCCTCAATGTCAAATGCCTTCATCCTCTTGGCATTTAAGCTCATCTATTCCACTGATATTGAGAAGTCTGAGGAAATGGTTACAGGGTACAGCAGCTTGACATGATAAGGCAGAAAGAAGGCTGAATTTTACACCCAGATTCAGTGTCAGAGCACCTCACAGCCTGGAGGCTGGCTGCCTACTGTCTATAGACAGATCTGGCTTCATGGGTGTATCGTACTTTTTTTTTGGTACCGAGTTGATTCCACTACACCTAGAACCTTGGGTGAGGTTTTCCATATAGACAACACCTACTCCCAACAGCTGTACTATTAGATAGTCAGGGAATGGAAAGAGGACAGTGGACGCTGCTTTTCAAAAAGAATCTGAACCCATGTGATTAGGACACACACACCAAAAGTGGAAATTAGGTGGAGAGCACACCTGAAGATCCACACTTATTGGCAATGACCATACTCTGTTGTTAACGTGGTTCTAAACAAAGCATCTTATATGGAAACCACTACCTAAAATAAAAGTGACAGCCAAAATAATGTAAAAAAAAAAAAAAGTGACCAAGGCCTGAACAACACTCAGATGGCAGAGTGATTAAATCTTTATAAAAGTTTAAGTAGCACTCTTAAATTCAAGATGGTCTGAAAAATATTTCATAATATATTCCAATTTCTCTAATTCTTCATTCAAAAGATTGTTTAAATGCTTTTGAGCATTAATCTCAGGATATATTGTGACAGTAGCAACTATTCTGAATTACCTAATCTGATGGACCAGCTGGGATGTCAGGTTAGTGACCCCTACACACTGTTGGATTGGCTAATGGGGGGCAGGAGAACCCTATTTAAGCCTACTTGCAACAGTTGATTTCAGGCTGGTAAACACTGAAGCCTACAGCTGTTCCTCCAAGCCCCTGACTTCAGATCTCTGACTGGCCTTGCCAGGCTTTCTATTACAGTTGTTAGCCCTAACCACTGGACTTGATTGCCCATACCCCAGTCTCATTACAGTATTACACTTAAATTATTTGGGACTCTCCATCAATTGCATAAGAGTCTGCTAGCTAAATATTTCTACTAAGCCTCTTCCTATCAAAAATCACAGTCTTCTGAGACCTAACGGTAGCTAGATTCCTTAAGAGTTTCATTGTCTTTCCTCCCAATTAGAAAAATTCTCCCTTCCTAGCACTTCCACATTGTGGTTTTGGGATTAATGGATCTGCCTTTTGAATCCATGGAAGAGTGTTTTTTATATTACCTGGGTATGGAGACTGCTTTCCTAATGGTTCTCACTTCAGCCCAAAGAACAGGAGAGATTAAAGCGCACACAGCAGGATGGCTTTATATATTATTCCAATGTATCTTCCAACTATGTAGCGTGTATATATAGCATATTCCAAGTATATACTGTTCCAACACGACTGACTCACTCCAAATTCCTTCCTAATGTTGCCTATGGCAACAAAAGGATGAAGTCACATATCTGGCAAAATTCTTTCCTAGGGTACTGTCCCTTTCCTTTTACTTCAGGGAAAAACATTTCTGTAATTCTTCTAACCCGTTTTTGGCCTTTGCTGACAGGATGAATGCTCAGCCAAGATCCTTTCAAACTATTGGTTTTTAGTATAGTCTACACTACAAAGTTTTGCTGGCATAATTACCTTGACTAGGATAGAAATCATAGAAAAATTAGGGTTGAAAGATACCTCAGGAGGTCACATCTAATCCAACCCCTGATCAAAGCAGGACCATCCCCAACTAGATGATCCCAGCCTGGGCTTTGTCCTTAAAACCCACCAAAGATGGAGATCCTACCACCTCTCTAGGTAACCTGTTCCAGTGCTTCACCATCCTCCTAGTGAGAAAGTTTTTCCTAATATTCAACTTAAACATCCCTTGCTGCAACTTGAGACCATTGCTCCTTGTTCTGTTGTTTGCCACCACTGAGAACAGTCCAACTCCATCCTCTTGGGAATCACCTTCAGGGAGTTGAATGCTGCTATTAACTCCCCTCTCAGCCTTCTCTTCTGCAGACTAAATAAGCTCATTTTCCTCAGCCTCTCCTCAGAAGTCACGTGCCCCAGGCTACAAACCATTTTTGTTGCTCTCTGCTGGACTCTCTCCAGCTTGTCTGCATCCTTTCTATAGTGGGGGACACAAAACTGAACACAGTACTCCAGAAGTGGCCTTACCAGTGCTGAATGGAGCGGAATAATTATTTCCCTTGATCTGCTGCCAATGCTTCTACCAATGCAGCCCAGGATGCTGTTAGCCTTCTTGACAACAAGGGCACACTGTTGGATCATATTCAGCTTATTGTCCACTGTAACCCCCAGATCCTTTTTTGTAGAGCTGCTGCTTAGCCAGTCAGTCCCTAGGCTGTACCGGTACATGGGATTGTTCTGTCCGAAGTGCAGGACTTTGCACTTGCCCTTGTTGAACCTCATGAGATTTCTTTTGGCCCAATCCTCTAATCTGTCTAGGTCACTGTGAATCATAGCCCTACCCTCTAGTGTATCTACTACTCCCTCCAGCTTGGTGTCATCAGTGAACTTGCTGAAGGTGCCCTCTATGCCATCTTCCAAATAGTTAATCATAGAATCATAGAATCATGAGTGGGAAGGGACCTAGACAGATCATCGAGTCCGACCCCCTGCCATGGGCAGGAATGAGCACTTAATGAAGATATTGAACAAAACTGGCCTGAGGACTGACCCCTGGGGCACTCCACTTGATACTGACTGCCAGCTAGACATTGATCCACTGATTACTACTCATTGAACCTGGCAATCCAGCCAGCTTTCTATCCACCTTACAGTCCATTCATCCAGTCCATACTTTCTCAGTTTGCTTGTAAGAATGCTGTGGGAGAAGGTATCAGAAACCTTGCTGAAGTCAAGGTATATTACATCGGCTACTTTCCCCACATCCACAGAGCCAGTCATCTCATCATAGAAGATAATCAGGTTGGTCAGACATGAGACGCCCCTGGTGAATCCAAGCCGACTGTTCCTGATCACCTTCTTCCCCTCCAAGTGCTTAGAAATTGATTTTTTGAGGATCTGCTCCATGATTTTTTGGGGGACTGAGGTGAGGCTGTTTGGTCTGTAGTTCCCTGGGTCCTCCTTCTTCCCTTTCTTAAAGACGGGTTATATGTTTGCCCTTTTCCAATTGCCACGAGTTTTCAAAGATGGTAGCTAGTGGCTCTGCAGTCACACCAGCCAACTCCCTCCAGCACCTTTGGGTGCATTGCATCCAGCCCCATGGACTTTTATATGTCCAGTTTTTCTAAATAATCCCTAACCTGTTCTTTCACTACTGAGGACTCCTCAACTTCTCCCCAAACTGTGCTGCCAGGTGCAGTAGTCTGGGTGCTGACCTTGCCTGTGAAGAGTGAGGTGAAAAGGGCATCAAGTACTTCAGCAGTTTCCTCATCTGTCGCTAGGTTGTCTCCCCCACTCAGTAAGGGAGTCACACTTTCCGTGATCTTCCTCTTGTTGCTAATATACTCATAGAAACCCTTCTTGTTACCTTTCATGTCCCTTGCTGGCTGCAACTCCAATTGTGCTTTGGCCTTCCTGACTTCATCCCTGCATGCCCAAGCAATATTTTTATCTTCCTCTTAAGTTGTTTGTCTGAGCTTCCACTTCTGGTGAGCTTCCTTTTTGTGTTTAAGCTCACTGAAGAGTTCTCTGCTAAGCCAAACTGGTCACTTGCTACATTTGCTACTCTTCTTGCACATCAGGATGGTTCGTTCCTGCACCCTCAGTGAGGTTTCTTTAAAATACAGCCAGCTCTCCTGGACTCCTTTCCCCCTCAGACTGGCTTCCCACGGGATCCTTCTCAAGCAGATCAGCTGTCCTATCAGAAGATACCCAGGGAATGGAAAGAGACTAGTGGACACTGCTGTTCAAAAAGAATCTGAACCCATTTGATTAGGACACACATCAAAAGTGGAACTGAAGTGGCGAGCACGTCTGAAGACCCACATTTATTGGCAATGACCATTCTCCATTGTTAACATGGTTTTAAACAAAATGTCTTATATGGAAACCACCAGCTAAAATAAAAGAGATAGCCAAAGTAATGTAAAAAAACCCAACAACTGGCCAAGGTCTGAACAACACTCAGATGACTACATCTTTATAAAAGTTTAAATAGCACTCTTAAACTCAAGATGGTCTGAAAAATATTACATGGTTCATGGTTCTCTAATTCTTCATTCAAAAGATTGTTTAAATGCTTTTGAGCATGAATCTCAGGATACATTGTGACAATTATGGTTGCATATTTTTATTTCAGGCTAAAGAAATAATTATGGCTAACCGAAAAGCACCCACTTCAGCTAAACCTTCTGACAGCAACAAATCACAAACAAATACAAGAAGGTAATTTTATTCTCTCTTTCTCTATAGCCCCTCAGGTTTATTGTTTGCATGTTAGTTCTTTACTTGCCAAAATGCTGCTGCTCAGTGAGTATATAATTGTTGAAATAAGAAAATATTGATTTCTATACAGTAAAGCTATAATAAAAGCTTTAGACTAATGGCTTGTCCAGTATTTTTTGTAAAGTTATTTGCTCCAAAAGCAGAGCCAAAATAGCACTTATTATAGCCGATCATTTTTGTTCCATCAGAAGGCAGTGATTTTTTTTGTATCTGCCTTACAAATCCAGTTGATTAATGGAAAAGTATATAGGAGCTACAGTTGAAACACTGCATCGGTCACCACTGTTTCCTTTTCTGAGGCTGAAGACACTAGCTTTTGGAATCCTAGAAAAGCAGAACTGGAGGTTATTTAGTCTGGCTCACTGCTCAAGGCAGGATCATCCCTGCCTAAACCATCCTAGATGAGGAATATTTAGGAAGTATGTTACCAGCAAATGATAATATGATGATGACTTGTTACTTCAAGAGGACCAAGCCAGAGACGACATCCCTTTAATTAAAAACAATCAATCTTTTCACCAAAAAGGCAGAGGCAGTCTTTCAGGCAGATTTCCTTGAGTGTCTCTGGACTCAAGCAGTGTCAACAGCCAAGTCTCTTAGTTTTTCCTTAGGGAAAAAAACAACAAACCTCCTTTCTGTAGGTACCTGACTGTTACTGCTAACTCAACCATCTCAGATCCACGTATATCAAACAAATGTTTCCAAACCCCATGGGAACTATAAATTATCAGATGAAGATGATCATGCTCATTAGCTTCTTTGGTTCTACTAGACATCAGTCATGATGAACAGAGTCAAAGTCCTGCACCAAGTTCGCATGCAGATTCCCAGCCATTATCCATTTGTGTTTTCTTTTCCTCCCAGCATTAAGGGAAGGAAGCTTGGTGGGTGGTAGAGAAAAGATGTGAAGAGCTGCCTTTCTATAATATCTGTTACCTGATAATCCAAATATACCACATGCCACAAGATTAAGAACTTGCATCCCTAGAGAGGGAATGCAACTTGTACCCAATTATTATTTGCAAATATCAGGTTTTTTAAATGCAGATTCAGATTTACCTCATTGAAAGAAAACTACATATTTTTGCCATCAAAATACTTGTATCAGAAAGAAAATACATCCCCAAAATAAAGAATGAAAGGCAGTATACAGGGATTATTAAGATAGTAAAATCTGACCCCCTGAGTTGACAAGTCATACAATAAAGATTGCTTGAGTAGCTGCTTCTTAGATTACAGGAGAACATGCATTATGGATTACACGCGAGGGCCCCAGTTCTCTTTGTTAAATTCTTCCTCACACATACAATCTGGTAAACAACAGTTTAGTCCTTCAGAAACTCATTTACTGTTATGGGATTGCATTCTGCCAACCCTCACAGCCTACAAACACAGTTTATTTTCTTCCCCCTGCTCACCTTTCTGTGCCTTCTTCTATCAATCCCTCTGTTCTGAAATGTCCTCTCCTTGCCAGCTTGCTACACCTCTTTCCACTCAAGTCACAGGAACATGCTGCAGTTGTTTCTACTATGTACACGATTTCTTTTCTGAGATTTTATACAAAATTATTTTATACAAATCGTTTCAACGCTGCTTAGACTCGTTTCGAGCTCAAAACAGCCAAATTGAAACGAAATAGAGAGCTTTGAAACAGCCTCAGAACGAAACAAGGCAAGTCGAAACAGAACGGTGCCATTTCGCACAGCCCTAGTATGCACCTGAAGCACAGCATAATGACAAAAGGTAAATCTAGAATTTGGTTTGATTTTTTTCCCCCCCATTATGCTTTTAATATAATTTTTTTTCAAAGCAAGATTGTCATCATCAAACTAATCCTTATACTTGGAAACAGAAATAAAAACTTCTGAATTAATTTGCCAAATAAGAGATTTGGGGTAGGGAATGCCACAAGTGTTGTAAAGTAGGCAAATAACCAGGCATAAAGAAATGATTAGACAGGAGTAATGAAATGAAAGAGAGTATTCAGCAAAGCCTGGTCTACACATCGTTCTTCTGTTGGTTTAACAGTTTTGCTTAGGAATAGATTTTTTTTCCCTGAAATAGCTAAATCAGTAGAACACCTACCACTATAATTACCTTTTTACTGGTATAACTACATCCCCTCCAGGGGATTGCACTGCTTTAATTATACTGGTATAGTTAGAGCAATACTGTGTAGATATGCCCTGAGACTAGAAATCTGATTTGCATTCCATTAGTGCAGCTTTTAGTAATAGTGCATGATTTACTGATTCATGTCCTTCTGCATTTCTTGTTTGCATATAAACATATATTTTTCAATCACTTAATCCTTTATCAGGTTTTTAATTCCAGCCTTTGCTAGCAGACTCTCATTATAGTAACACTGTATGGTAGAACTGTGGTTTTCAGTTTCAAAAAAAGTTCATGCATTAACTAACTGAGCTGAGAGAATTAGGCACATGCTAAGCATAGAGGCTTTTATTTTCAGTCCTGCTATTTTAAGTTGTTCATTTATTTTAGATTTAATACCAGCACTATATAAGAAACACCCCTGAGGCTGTACCTGGCATGAAGATCTTATTCTAAGCCAGAGACAATGGTACTTGGTAGGTAGTTTTGATAGAGGTTACTTTCATCTAGCTTTGTTACTTTCTTGTGGACATCATGGACAGAACAGGTCTTTAAGAAAGGACTTGCTGGTCAACGAGTAAGATTCTTGTTTTGGGTGTGAAAAGTGGTTGGTTCAAATCCTAGACAAGCTGTTGTAAAAGTTGAGAATTCTCCTGTCCCTTTCATGTTACATCTGGGGGCTGGACTGAGTAACACAGGAAGTCCCTTAGCTCTATGTTTGTGCGACTTGAGTGGATAGACTTGTCAAGCTGGTAAGAAGAGAGCACTTCAAACAAAGAGTTTGACAGAACAAGGCACAGGAAGGTGAGCAGGGGAAAGAAAATTAAGGGTGTTTGTAAGCTGTGTCTGTTGGCAGTATGTGATGAGGCAGATGTAATAAGATAAACTCAGGATTTGGATAGAGTCAGCATAGGGTTGGAAGATACCTCCTAAGTCCAGTCTCCTGCTATTACACAGACAATCATGTCAAATTATTTTTTTTAGAAACTGCCCAAGCTTTCACCCTGCCCCCTTTCTGTCTCTGCTCCTAATTGTTTCATATCACGAACCTTGTTCCTCAAGTGCAGGGCTCCTCAACTACTGCATTTGGCCCATGAAGGGTTAAATTATGGCCCCTGGGCTCTCACTTGGCCACTGTTCCTTCCATCACTCTAACTGCAGCAGCAGTCAAGGTCTTGGGGCAGGGTGCCAGCAGGGGTGAGAGTCCTCTTGGTTTTGGGACTCCCAGCCCTAACTGGGCATGGTGCACCCCTGCCCAGCTGACAGGGGTCCTAGCTACACATGCAAATTAAAGCTCAATAGAAACCAGGTATAAAGTTAATACATGTTTTCAAGATATGCCCTGAGACTAGAAATCTGATTTTCATTCCATTAGTGTAGCTTCTGGCAATAGCGGAGAGAAGGTAAAAATAAGCTGGCTGGAGCTTTTTATGGTATAAGTTCTTTGCATGTGTAACTGGTATTCAGGTTATTATGGAAATAACCGATTAATTGCATGATATCCATAAGCGGCAGAAGGCCGGGGCTAAAAGGGCTCAGCCCCCCTCCTCAAACACAGGGCAGTGTGTAGGGCCTCAGGGCAGCCCAGCTGCAGGCTCTATGCAGCTGCAGCAGGGGTGAGGAGGGTGCGTACACAGCCAGGATCACAGCCCAGCATTTAGATAACTGGCTTCCCAGCACAGCAGGCAAGTACCAGTTGATTCCGTGAAGGGGCAGGGGTTGGGGGGGAACAGGTTGAGGCCCCCATGGTGAAGGAGGAAGTGGGGCATGAGCAGGGGCTGGGGTCAGTGGGGCCCTGGTCAGGCTGGATGGTGGAACAATCGGAGCCTAGGCAGGTTGTCCAGAGGTGTGGGGTGTTCCTGCCACTGCGCATACCCGGTGGAGGCCCGGGGGAGACATGCCCCCTCATTTGTGCATGGGGCTCCCTGCTGCAGCTGCCCTGGGACACCACTTGCCTGCTGCTGCTCAGCTGTGCTGTGTCCCCTGCCCACCCAGCAGCAGGACGCACATGGCCTTGCACCACTCCTGGGGCAGCTGCAGCAGGAAGCGAAGCCGAGCACACAGCAGCAGCCACCTCCGCTCTGCACACAGTTGGGGGAGCATGTGCCCCCTGGGCCTCCGCCAGGGTGCGCGCAGTGGCAGGAGCCCCCTGCACCCCAAGATGAGCTGCCTGAGCTCCAATTGTCCTACCACCCAGCCTGGCCAGGGCCACACTCACTCCAGCCCCTGCTCCTGCCTGTGCTTCACTCTCTTCCTTACCACGGGGTCCTCAATCTGGTCCCCCTCCATGACTCTTTCCCCTCACCCCACCCCTTCACCCACAGACTTACTTGTGGGGGTGGGGAGGAGCACACATGGATGTAACTTAACTGCAGGGAAGGAGAGAGCACTCATAAATGCGCACATATGCTCAGTGCCCCCCCCCCGCAATATTATTTTTCTCCATCCACCTGTGGCAATATCTGTAATGTGTAGAGGGGGGTAGACCTCAAAGTTGTCTCAGCTAAGCAACTTCCTAGGTGTTTCTAATTACATTGACTATGGTTATCAAAAAGATGAGATTTGATGCAGTATTGGGAAACCAGGAAAATCCGGTATGAAGCTGACATTTGTCTTCACACTGCCATGCCAATATTTCACTGGGCAAACTTTTTTGCAGTTGTCAAGTCAGGAGTTCAGGTAGTAACAATACATTAATATATTGTTTTGAGAAATCTAAAGGATTTGGTCAGAGTTACATTTGTCCTGTTCAGTATTCTTCTAACAAGAAAAGCTTTGTGGATTTTATTCTCTCACTAACTTTTGTAAATCCAAGGTGCAGAAACATTTGCAGATTTGTATTTTGATGAATCCTGTTTATGAGCGGTACTTGCAGAACAAGGTGGCCTTGGGAACAGCAGCACTTCATTTATCACAACTTATTTGCAATGATTTACATCTTCCCTTCCTGATTATAATTTTGTCCTTGAAACATGAATTCAGCTGTCATGATTAGTGCATATCATGTCCTTTTAAATGATAACCTGATTCTGAAAACTGTGGTTATTCTTTGATTTTCAGGGTATGGCCATGTAAAGTGAGTTGAAGGATTCCTACGTGCTGAAAGAGGCACCCAAGTCTCTGGTTGTTTTAAAGCAAAATTATTTACCTGGCTTACTGGACAAATTTTGCCTAGGTCTCCCAGACTCAAATATTTGGGCCAGAATCTAAGATAAAAATAAAACCTTTTTTTGTTCTCAGAGCCCTAGGCTCTACAACAGAAAATTCTGTAAACTGAGACAGTTTTTCCCTATTTGGCAGAGATCAGGATTTGGTTCAACAGCACCTTTCCCAGATCAGTATTAATGATGTGCATGTTGTCTCCAGCATCAGCCTAGGACACTGGAGTAATTGCATCTCTGGAGCTGGTGTAAGCATTGCATTCACGCCCTTGGAAGGGCTAATATTACAGTGGAGCATCCCAATAGCATGGCAGCACTTCAGAAGAAGGCAGTACCTACAGACTGGATTATAGGTCCAAGGAGGATTCATAGAACAAGACATTGCTTTTTGATTTTTAGGCATTGCAACACCTAAGCAGTAGTGCCTGTGGGTATGATTTGGGTCTGGTCCTCAGTCTCTTTGCCTCAGAGAGATAATGACAATAGAGATGATGGTCCTCCCACACTTCGTGGACATGTGAGTGGTTTTTGAAGGCTACAATGATTTCCTCAGTGGGAAGAAGAGCACATGAGCAGAAAGACAGGGACCCACTTATTTTTTCAACACGTACCTTCCTACTGCTGGTTCTCAAAGTACTTTATGTCGTGGACTAGCAGGAAGCATTTGTTGGATGATGCGTATGCTACTGATGCATGACTTCCATGACTCGTTTTCCAAATGTGCTGTTATTTCTGCCATTTAACTTGTGCATTTACATGTTTTCAGGCAGTCAAGCTATATAAACCAAGCAGTTTGTCATATTTGCAGAAAGAGTAATTTGTTCAATTTCTGGCTTATCTAGAGCCATTAAGTGAATATAAAATATGTCCAATACTTAAGAAAGGAATCTTTCTCATACTATGCAAATAAAACATCCTAAGACCAACATTGTCTTACTTCTGCATTTTTAGCTTTTGCTGAGCTACTCCAAAGAATTAGATCCACACAACTGGAGTAGAGAGACAGTTCTTTGCAGGGTGTGCACTTCTGGAAACCACCCAAAAGCTAGTAACAATCTGTTTCAAGGTCATGGCACATTTTGCAAGTTGCACAGGAAATGAATAATTGTATTGCCTCTCAGGGATGAACGTTTTGCAGAACATTGCCACAATGTGAATCCACTTCTGTTTCATTAAAATGTTCAATAGCATAAAGCACCTTGCCCTATAGCTAAGGAATATTCAGGGTGAAAACACAGAAGTCGTCTTGTGTGCATCGCCATTACCCATAGCATTCTCCTCAAAGTGGGCGGTTTTTTTGTAGCATTTGCTGTGGAAAGGACTGGAGCTGGTTTTTGTCCATCCAGATTCTTAAAACAAGGAGCTAACTTCTCTGGTCTGCTGCCCTGGTGCACAACACAAAAGGGATGAGCTGAGTAACCACTGGAGACTTCCTCTTGCAAGAGGAATTCCTCTGGGACATAAAGCTGACAGAAGTAGAGTATCTTCCTACTATGCCAGTGACAACTCCCCTCAACAGTGGTATAGGGGTCATGTCAGGCAAAGGGAAGGACCTGCCATGAGCCTAAAATAGTGGCATTTAACCTTTTGAGACCCAAAACATCCCTGCATAATTTGTGAATTCAGTGGTACACTAAAGTATATAGTCATTTCCTTCCATATGCGCTGGGCAGTAGGGGTGGGGGATTGTCCAGGCAGGGACAAGCCTGAGCAGGGCTTATCTGCTTGTCTCCTCATACCTAACTTATCTCCTTATATCTTGTGGCACCCTTCAAAGGCGCTCTGGGTGAGAATCACTGCCCTAAAATAACGAGGCACAGTGGAGCAAAACTTCTTGATGTCTAAACTCCACAGGTGAAGGGATCTTGCAGTAGAACAGCTACTTAGACTTGAATCCAGTATCAAGTAACTTCAACCAGTTCCCTGACAGAAGCCTTTTCCCTTGTACTGAACAAAGTTTTATCACAGAGAAATTATCTTGGCTCTTTTTTAGCGCTGTGCAAAGCGTCGGATCATGATTTGGATTCAGAGATGATTCGGATGATTCAGAGGCTGAATCTATGAATCTGAATCGAATTGCTGGAAGCTTTAGGTTTTCCGAATCGATTTGGAGCTTCTGAATCGATTCAGAAAAGATTCAGAAAAGATTCAGAGATTTGACCACAGGTTATAATGGGGAATCAGTGAACTATCTATAACTTTGTTGTCTTTTGGCTACTTCAGATGAAACTTGCAGGGATGGTAGCCTCTGCTGAGTGCATGACATGTACCAAGTTTCAAGGTGATAGGTGCAGGGGTTTCTGGGAAATTGCACCTCAAAGTCCTGAAAGCAACTCTTATGTCACGTGTGTGTGTTAAGCCACAGTGGGGTCAAAACTGCAGGGATGGTAGCTCTTGCTGAGGCCACAAAGCCTGCCAAGTTTCAAGGAGATCAGTGCAGGGGTTTGGGGGGAACTGCACCTCAAGCTGCAGACAAGCAAAACTCATGCTGTGGGTGACACTGTGTGTGTTAAGGCGCAGCAGGGTGAAAGCTGCAGGCCTGCTAGCCCCTGCCGAGACCACGAAGCTGCCAGCTGCCAGCTGCCAGATAGGTGCAGGGGTTCTGGGTTCTGGGGCCCTGCACCTCTGCCTGCTGACAGGCAAAACTCGTGACATGGGTGCTTGTGCAACTGTGTCTGTCTTGGGGCATGGGTGGGGGGCAGCTGGCAGACTTTGTGGCTGCAGCAGGGGCTAGCAGACCTGCAGCTTTCACCCCGCTGCGCCTTAACACACACAGTGTCACCCATGTCATGAGTTTTCCTTGTCCTCAGCTTGAGGTGCAGTTTCTCCCAAACCCCTGCACCAATGTGAAATGAAGCCACTATCATTAGCTGTGAAGGAGGCTGGATTCTGTTTTGCCAATTAGCTACATTTCAGTATTTAAAAAATATGAACAAACGGTCACAAATTACTGGAAACAGGCTAGAAATTTTTGCTTTTCTAACCAATGGGGTCTCCCACTCTTCCTTTAGGAAAACCCTGCAATGGAAAACATGTAAAATCTCTTCTGGTACAGCAATATAATGAGTGGATATAGAACTCTGTTGGTCATGATTTCAAAAGTGTCCCTAATCTGGACTGGATAAGCAGTTTATACATCCTGTGAAGTTCTACAGTATTGCAAGACCTGCTGGAAACCACAGTGTCAAAAAATAAATAACAAACAAATTCATGCTTCAGTTTAAATATTTAGTATTTGTTTGATTTTTTTAAGTGCTATTAATTTCTGCTTCCTATCACTAGGGATTTATATAGAGACCCTTTAAATAACTGAAGCGAGACTGAGTTAAATGCAAACAAAAAAGAAAATTGTTGTGATCAAACTCTCTGCTACCTCAGCAGCCAGCAATTGATACCAACCATTAATCACATTATCTTGGTATAAAATATTATAGATGTCATAAGATTAAGAATAAAATATTTATAGACTCATAAAAAGTCTAGCTAGTAATGATTTGTGTGTCCACCAGACAATGGTGAATTATCTGTGCTTTGACTCATTTTGAGTGAAGAACCCCTCTATGGTAATAAGTTCCTTAACCCTGTTTCCATTGGAGTGAGGCGCAAAATTCCCATGGATGTAATTGGAAGAAGAATGGTTCTCAAAATGTTGCTGCTTCATTTGATGTGCTGCTCTCTTTTGTTCCAGAAGACAGCGAGTTGAGCGACTAGAAGTGGATCCTAACAAATACTCATTCCCCGATGTAGCAAACATAGTCCAAGAAAAGGAGCGAACTGGACAAGGTCCTATTAGGCTTCAACAACAAAAGGCAGTAGAGCCTGAGAAGAGTTATACTGACTCGGTGGACGGCGAAGATGTTCCTCCCTTAATTTGAAATGTACTGAGAGGTTTTCACATTCTGTAACCTGCATTGCCTCTGAGTTAGCCTCAGCAGCTTTCTTGACTCACACAATAGAGGATCTACGTATATAATAACCTTATTGTCTACTGAAATTAAAAAATATTTGTTATTGCTGTCAGTTGTTTTTGTTATACTTTTGCTGTACTTTTCTGCCTCTTTCAATTAGAAGATTAATACATACCTTCTTGTCACAGAGCACTCAGGTGCCCTGTGCCTGAAAACAGAAACAGCTCGGGAGAGACCCCTAGTGGCAGGAAGGGGGAGGCTTAGCTGCCAGTCACCAGGGCTGCGCAGGTGCTGGTTGCTAGGGCAACCAGTGAAACCAGCTGACAGGAAGGGGCAGGGCTTAGCCCTTCTTAAGCCCAAGCAGGAGGCCAGGAGGGCAGTTCCTCTCCGGTGGCCAAGGGAGGAGGAACTCGGCTAGGACAGACAAAGGGGAGAACTCTGACAGTGGTAACATCCCTCGGTTGCTGCTGGGGTTGGGGAGCTCTCTCTCTCTCTCTCTGGTAGGGATTGAATCTTGTTTGACCCGACAGTCTAGCTTTTATGTTGTAGCCCAGGGGCTTTGTGTTCTTGTGTTTGCTGTTTTGACCGGAGGGCCGGGTGAGGCTATCACGGGGTGGAGGAGGGTTTTTTTTCAGTCATTGATGATCCTTCAAGACTGTCCTGCCCAGAGGCAGCAAGCCTAGAAGTTACTGTTCCTCCTCTTGCAACAAGGAGCAAGACAACAGTTACAACAACCATATCATAGGAGCTCCACAGTAGCGTAGGGACCCTGGCGCCAGAGAGGGCGCAGCGTTTTGGGGGTGCATTGACCCCAGCCCCCAGAGCTAGAGGGGGGCAGTGAGAAGCCCCAGAGCTAGAGGGGGGCAGTGAGAAGCCCCAGAAGTAAAGGAGAGGGCCAAGGCATAACAGGGTCCAGGTCAAACCACATCAGTACCATCTGCGAGGCTTGGGCTGCAGTGTAAGGGAGGAAAAGGAACCGCAGGTAGCACCGCCTGGCACCGGGGCACATAAAATGGGCAGCCTCCCACTGATTACATTAATCAATTAAGATCAAGGCATGGCAGGCAAGTAAGCAGGCAGTTGGCCCATTGCAAGAGGGCGGAGTCACTCCTAGAAAGGCTCTGATAGCGATACTCCTGTCACACTTCTCTTTTTCTAAATTGTCTGCTTGTGTCATGACAGGGTTCCAAAGGCCTCTTCAAAACTGGGATATCTCACTGTTGGCAGGATATAAACCAATAGGAAGATTGACACACTACCTCAAAGACCTCACAGTCTAATTAAAGAGATAACAAATGAGGATGGCAACAGCAATTAATTACCTATTACCTAGGATGAACCACACAGAGCTGAAGTCCCCAGGCATTTTCCAGTGCTTACTTTCTTAAGAAGGCAGCAGCAGAGAAACCTCTTGTGTTGGGTGTGATGCACTTGCACTGATGTTCCTATACTCTGGGACTGAGAAGGGGGTCGATGGAGCTAGCCCATCCTTCCTGCAACAGTAAATCTACCAACACAACAAACAGCTTTCAGATTCTACATTCAGCAATATAATTACCAGTGTGCTTGAGGAGTGCGAAGGTGCCAGTCTGTAGTGATGCTGTGGGGAGGGGAAGATCACAGCTGGATAATACACCCCAGAAGACCTGCCACTTCAGAAAAGTTGGACTAAGTCAGCTAGATCTTTCCAGTGCCCTGGGTGCTGGTCTCTTTTGTCTTTCCTTGGCTTCCAGCAATTTCAGGATTCGTTGAAATTGTCGGGGTCTAATTTGCAGCTCCTCTTAGATGTGGGGGCGAAGACAATTTGGGGCATCAGGGCTTGGAGATAGAGGGACTTGTTCCTACCCTGCCCTTCCACTGTTCTAAGAACTGCAGGAGTCTCCTGATTGACTTAATTCCCAAACCCCTGTATTGCACCCAGTAGGTTGGAACGGGCTTCTTCAAAGCGTAATGTATTCACTTTACTGTATCATAGTGAAACCAGGTGCGGTAACTTGACACAGCAAATTTGTGAATGCCTCTTTCGCTTTTTAGTTTAGGCCAGGGGCAGGCAAAATGTGGCCTGTGGGCTGGATGCGGCCTGCCAGGCCATTCTATCCGAACCACAGGGCCTCTAAAAAATTTAGAAAATTAATATTTATCTGCCTCTGGCTGCCTGTCATGCGGCCCTCGATGGCTCGCCAAACCTCAGTAAGCAGCCCTCTGCCTGAAATAATTGCCTACCCCTGGTTTAGGTATTTAACATACATTCTTTTAGTAAATGCAGTTCTCATTTTTTTTATTCGCAGGTCACCTCTACTTTTAAAAGCCAAAAAAAAAAAGGGGGGATAAATTGAGGTGTTAAAAGGAGCTATATAATCTTGTCAGTAAGTGTCTTATAAAATGGAGATTGTCATTCTAAGGGAAACCCTAATGAATTTGTTCCAAAAAAGAGGAACTTGCTTGCTTCTGCATGGGAGTGGTGCAGAAATGAATGAAAAATGTCTTTTGCTTTTAACACTATGAGATACTCTTTGCAAATTTAAAAAAAATCAGGACCCCATCCCCCACCCCCCCAAGGTTATTTTGTTGCTTGGGAGGGGAGTTTCTTTGATTTAGATTGGGTTGGATTTTTTTTTCTTCTTAATTTACATGTTCTCCTCTTTATGGCCAAAAATGAATGAGTGAGGTGCATTCATACCCGAACAATCAAAGAGATTTCTGAAGTGATAAATACTTTTCATTTATTTAGCAGACCAGGGTTAGGTGGCTGCCCTGATATCTCCAAGAAATTCACCTGGATGGCTGACCCTGTAGTTTGTAAGCAAAGTTTTGCTTTGAACTTTTGAATGCACTGCATGTCTTTACCCAAAGTAATATTGACTGAAAATTTTGCATTTGGCTTTCCTATTAGGAGGAAAACAATGATCTGTTTTCATGGTTAATGATGACAAAGGGCTAGATTCTGTTCTCAGATATCTGGCTATCTGTGGCTATTACCTGTGGCCTAGCAAAAGCTGCTAACTATAAGGCAGAACGTTAACCATTTTCAAGTGAGTCTGTGTGAATCTGTAGGCTGTAAATGAGGTGAAGCTTTAGGAACATGGAAGATGGTGCAATATGGGACAGGAAAACATACTGGAATATGAAAAATGACACGTTATTGGTAACAGAAGCCAAGATGAACATATGCGAAAAGGTGAATGGTGATTGGTGAAGAAGCTTCCAGGTGTTGGTCAAAGTCCACCCATTGACGAAAGAAGTAAAGTCAAGGTCTTGGATGTGCGCTCATACCAAAAAGACATGTAAATGAATGAAATGCATATGCAATTTCATGTTAATGAAGTAAACAGTAAACAGAGGCAAAGCTTAAGATAGGAGGAGAAATGTGTGGAACAAAAGGAGGAGTGAGGGCAGAGTGAATGTTAATAAGCATGAACCAAAGTGTATAAATATGGAAATAACTATTGTTCATTGCTGCTCCCTGTGTTCACAGGCTGTGTGTCTGTGAGGGAGCTTGCCCAAAGCTGTCTCCATTCTGAATAAAGCTGTTGAGAGCAATGTGTGCAAGTAGTGTTTGCTCCCTGCTTGCTCTGGCTAATGAGTAACAAGACCCATGAGCAATTAGATTGTCGTCTTCCTAGTCGTTGGGTGCTGCATGGAGTCAGGGTCTAACAATGGTCTCCTGTACAGCTTCTCTTTTTTAGCCTCTGTGCACTGACTTGATTTTTCCAATCTTACCATGGATTAATCTGGGATAAAAACCTCCTAGCCCTAACATCTCTTCAGCCAGCTTTGTTCTGCTGACTGAAAGTGTAAAAATAGTTTATTAAATGAAAAGATACCAATATGCTAGATAGTAGTGTTAAATGCTGATGTAACCGCAGTGGTCCAGGGAATATGTGAAAAGCAGAATTTGTTTAGTAATATCTTTTATTGAACCAGCTACATGGCTGGAAGATGTGTCAGTCAAGCGTTTGGGCACAAAATGCCCTTTCTCAAGGCAGTATTGTCTCTGCACATTCAGAGTAATAGCCGCTGACTTTACTAACTAAAAAAAGATTGTACTATATTATACTCCTATTGAGACTACAGGACAGATTACAGCTCTAGGGAGAAACCTGGGTTCTTCTCTGGCTTATACATCAAAATAAAACTGTCAACTAAGTTTGTATTGCAAAATGTTTTGTGGATGTGTGAGCTGGGAAGAACATAATTTGTTTCTCGTACCTTAGGTTGTTTTCCTGATGGGCAGGGAGGTAAGAAATCTCACTTGACTTTTAAACTAATTGTATTTGGCTTGGAATTCAGTGCATGAGTGTGGAAGGTGTGTGCTATTTTTATGAATACTATGTGTATCTGACTGTATTCATAAGGCTTGCCATATGGGACATTGAAGATTTGCGCATGTTACGGAGCTGGTGCTGCTTTATGAGTGTGGCTATGTCAGCAGAGCCCCCTCGTGGAGACATGGCACATGTCCCTTGAAGGGCTTTTTCTGCTGGAAAACTATCTCCCCAAAGGAAATTTAGCTCAAGCAGCAAAAGCTCTCTTCTGGTACCATAGCTGCATCTAGACCTGTGTTTTTTCCGTTAGAGCCTCATGTGTGATTGGCTAGGGGTGTGATCTTTCCATCCTGAGCCCTCACACAGTGATTGACAGCATCCTTCTCTAGCTGCGTGTCCAGGTGGCATAGAGTGGGCAGATTAAAGGTCAGATTGTGTCTATGCTAAGAGTGCTGACCCACGCCAGAGTGGAACACAATAGTAGAAGTAGCATGCAGCCTGTCTGAAGAGACGGTGAGGTAAACTGTTAAGCTCACCGTCCCATTTAGGCCTGATGAGATATATGTAGAGGGTGTGAGTTAATATGCCAGGTATTGTCTCTGTCGCATGGAGCTTGAGTCTGAGCAGCAAGCTGAAGGTGCGTTCATTGACCCTTTGGTATACAGACAACAAAAATGTGGATCACATATGATATGATAAACAGAATGTGGATAACAATAATAATGATCTCCAGGCCCGTAGGAAATGTAGATGGTTGGAGGGGGAGGGAGATGTGACTGCTGTTCTCTAAAATAGGATATAGTCTTCGGCTCTAGAATTTGCCCTAGAATCTGCTGCTCACTC